GCCGCAGCCCGCGTCCCTGGGCCCCCCCACCCCCGGCTGGCCCCGGCCGGTTCCCCAGCTCACGCTCGTGCCCCTCAGGGCGGCTGGGTGGCAAGGGACCGAGCGCCCGGCGGCTGGCCAGAGAAGGGACGCGCACGGCTGGCGGCCGTGGGGCATGAGGCGGGGGCGCGATGTCTGTGCCGCTGCTCAAGATCGGGGCCGTGCTGAGCACCATGGCCATGGTCACCAACTGGATGTCGCAGACGCTACCCTCGCTTGTGGGGCTCAACGGCACTGTGTCCCGTGCGGGCGCCTCCGAGAAAATCGTGAGTGGCTGTTGTGCTGGGGGCGCTCCCGGGGGGCGTGGTGTCCGCGCCACTGTAGCCTCCGCCGCAGCCCCTAGGGGCCCCCGCCCGGGTCTCCACCTGCCTGGCGAGCCTGGGTCCGGGGCGTCCTCTCGGGGCTCCGGGGCTCCGGGGCTGGACGCGGAGGCAGGCGAAGGGAGCCCTGGGACGCCTAGCCGGGTTACTGCTATCGTTGATTATTATTATCAATGGTTAGCATGGTTACTGCTATCATTATTATTATTATTAGTGAGCAGTGTCCGAGTGCCAACAACGTCTAGCATGGTTACTGCTATCATTGATTATTATTATTAGTGAGCAGTGTCCGAGTGCCAACAATGTTCCAGGCTCGCCGGCTCTGGTGGTGACAAGGGCTGCAGAATTGAGCCAGGTCCGGGCTGAGTTGGGCGGAGCAGGAGGGTGAGATTGGGGGCCTGGTAGGGACCTTGCCTCTGAAAGGGTGGGAAGGGTCTTGGGCTCTTGAGTGTCCTCACCTTTAGAGTTTCTGCTTGGCTGTGTCTAGGTGTCTTTGAGTAGTTCTGGCTCTGCCTCTCTCTACCTCTCAGTTCTTTCCCCTCTGGTTTGCTTCTCTGGATCTCTTTCTATTTTTGTCTATCCCTGTCTCTGCCTCTGTCTCTGTGACGCTGTCCCTGACTTTGTATCACTTTTTGTCTGGCTCTCTTTTTCTCTCCCCTGCATCCCTGTCCCCTAGCATCCCTCTCCTCATTACCTTCCTCACCCTGTGCTGAGTATTTACCCCCATAAATCGCCCTCCCTGGGAGGCAGACGAGGTTCAGACCGGCTGAAGCTGCTTCCCAAAGGTCCAGGATGGCCTCCGCCTTCCCTTCCCATCCCCCTCCATCGCCTTAATTCTCGGCTTCCCTCCTTTGGGGTAGAAGGGGTGGGGACTACATCGGGTTAGTCAGGATGGTCCTGGTGTCTTGGGGACAGGGGACAGGACTCCTTCACTGCAAAGTTCCCTCAACCTCCAGAAATGACCCTCTCACCTCCCACCCCTCTGGGAGCTCCTCCCCTCTTCAGTCTGTTTGGGGGACTCCTCCTAAAACATGGGCTTGGATTCCTGATGCTCTGGATCTTCTGCCCAACTTACCCAACTTCACCACCCCCTCCCTCCACACACACACAACACACCTGCTTAGCTGCAAATGTCCAACATGCTGATTCTTTCCCACCCCTGGCTAGAAGCAAAGAGGACCTTGCTTCCAAGGGTTGCAGGCAAGTGGTGGGAGGTGACATCTCCTGGGGAGGGGTTGTTATTTGCCCAGCCTAGGTAGTATTGAGCTTGACACGGGTGAGAGCTTTGGGTCCAAATTCTCAGACTTGCAGTCAATGTGTGAAACCATGTCTTTCTGTGTGTCTTTCATGTCAAGTGAGATTATTTGGGTATGTCCTGGTCTGTGTGTGGATGCATGCATTTCCATGTGCGTATGGGGGAATGAGAGAAAAAAGTTTATGTGCATTGGCATCAGGGGGTCCCAGCACCTGTTCCTGTGTGTGAGGGAGCAGCCTGCAGTGAGTGTGGGTGTGTCCCTGAGTGAGCGTGTTTGGGTATGGATGTATCTGATTGTGTATCTGCAATTATATGTCCCTGACTATATCAGTTTACATGTGTTACAGAATTGCATGTGCACATGTGAGTTTGTATACATGATTATGACACAGCCTTTTTGCTGTTGCCATCTGAGGGGGAGAGAGAGATGGTGTCCTATTGAAATCGGAAGACAATGGCTCGGCGCCCATAGCTCAACCGGCTAAGGCGCCAGTCACGTACACCTAAGGTGGCGGGTTCGAATCCCCAGCCC